ACCCTCCCATTATTCCCCCCCCCCCCCCCCCCCCAACAAAACTACATTGGTTGAAAATAACTGTTAGCTCTGCTGGGTGAACCTCTTATGTGAAATGCATCAGTGCTGGCAGAAGAGGACTTTGTTGTTTAGCTTGTATCATTTAGGAGGGTATTATAAGTAAGCTGTTAATAAAAACCCTTTTGACGTGCAACATATCTCCACTAGGGGGCTCTGCCAACAAAACTAATAGCTGCAGGGCCCCTATAATGTTTCATAGTTTCTAGGGTCGGAAGGGACCTGGGCAGATCATCTAGTCCAACCCCCTGCCATGGCAGGAAAGAGTACTGGGGTCAAACGACCCCAGCAAGATGGTCATCTAACCTCCTCTTAAAAACCCCCAGGGTGGGAGCCTGCACCACCTCACTTGGAAGCTGGTTCCAGACCCTAGCCGCCCTGACCGTGAAGTAGCGCCTCCTGATGTCCAACTTAAACCTTCCCTCCGCCAGCTTGTGACTGTTATTCCTGGTCACTCCTGGCGGCGCTCGGGGGAACAGGGACTCCCGCAGTGCCTGTTGATCCCCCCTGACTAGTTTATAGCAGGCCACAAGATCCCCCCTCAGCCTTCTCTTCTGGAGGCTGAACAGGTTCAGGTCCCGTAACCTTTCCTCATAGGACCTGCCCTGCTGTCCCTTGATCATGCGAGTGGCCCTCCTCTGGACCCTCTCCATGCTGTCCACATCCCTCCTGAAGTGCGGCTCCCAGAACTGGACGCAGCGCTCCAGCTGCGGCCTGACCAGTGCCGCATAGAGGGGGAGGATCACCTCCTTGGTTCTGCTTGAAATGCATCTGTGGATGCACGACAAGGTACAGTTGGCCTTCCTAGCCGCCTCCCCACACTGCCGAGCCATGTTCATCTTGGAGTCAATAATGACTCCAAGATCCTTTTCCACCTCCGTGCTGACGAGAGGGGAGTTCCCCAGCCTGTAGGTATGGTGCCGGTTGTTCCTCCCCAGGTGCATCACCTTGCACTTGTCTGTGTTGAACCCCATCCTGTTCTCCTCTGCCCATCCTTGTAACCTGTCAAGGTCCAACTGTAGCCTGTTGCTCCCTTCTATTGTTCCCACATCCCCCCACATCTTGGTGTCATCAGCGAATTTGAACAGGGTGCTTTGCACCCCCTCATCCAAATCACTGATGAAGATGTTGAACAGGGCGGGCCCGAGGACCGAGCCCTGCGGGACCCCACTGCCCACGTCCTTCCAGGCCGAGAAGGACCCATCCACTACCACCCTCTGGGTGTGGCTCTCTAGCCAGTTGGCGACCCATTGGACTGTGTGGGTGTCTACGCCACAGTCCCCCAGTTTCCTAATGAGAACGGGGTGAGAGACAGTGTCGAAAGCCTTCCGGAAGTCCAGGAAGACTATATCCACTGCTACCCCTGCATCCAATGATTTAGTGACCTGATCGTAGAAGGCCACCAGGTTGGTCTGACATGACCTGCCGCTGATGAACCCGTGCTGGTTGCCCCTGAGCATGCATTTCCCTGCTGGCCCCTCCTGGATGTGTGCCAGAATAATTTTCTCGAACAGCTTGCCCAGGATCGAGGTAAGACTGACTGGCCTATAGTTTTCCGGGTCCTCCGTCCTCCCCTTTTTGAAGATGGGAACCACGTTGGCCCTCTTCCAGTCCTCCGGCACCTCTCCAGAGCACCACGAGTGCTCATAAAGCTGTGCCAGGGGACGTATGTAGATCAGCCCATTGCTTGTCTGGAGTGGAAATAGCTCTTGTATAGGTTGCTGAAATCTTTCACATTTGAGGTTTTTTTGGTTGAGAGGGGAGATGGGAATGTATTTGGGAAAGTGCTTTTAATACCTGTTTTTCTCTTCATAGGATGTGATGGAGCTCCTAGAGGAAGATCTGACCTGTCCCATTTGCTGTAGCTTGTTTGATGATCCTCGGGTTCTACCCTGTTCACACAACTTCTGCAAGAAGTGTTTGGAAGGGATATTGGAGGGGAATGTCCGGAACGTGCTTTGGAGACCATCCCCTTTCAAGTGCCCTACCTGTCGGAAGGAGACACCTGTCACAGGAGTCAATAGTTTGCAAGTCAACTATTCCCTAAAAGGCATTGTGGAGAAGTATAACAAAATCAAGGTAACTCCTAAAATGCCTGTGTGCAAGGTGCACAGTGGGCAACCCCTCAACATTTTTTGCCGGACAGACATGCAGCTGATTTGTGGGGTCTGTGCTACTCGAGGTGATCACACAAAGCATGTGTTTTGTTCTATTGAAGAAGCGTATTCTCAGGAGAAGCGTGCATTTGAAACCCTTTTTCAGGGCTTTGAAACATGGCGTTGTGGAGATGCACTTTCCCGGCTGGACACTTTAGAAACAAGCAAGAGGAAAGCTCTGCAAATGCTGACAAGGGATTCGGACAGAGTGAAAGAGTTCTTTGAGAAGCTGCAGCACACACTGGAGCAGAAAAGAAATGAGATTCTGTCTGACTTTGAGACCATGAAGCTTGCTGTGATGCAGGCCTACGACCCAGAAATCAATAAACTGAACACCATTCTGCAAGAACAGCGAATGGTTTTTAACATTGCAGAGGCCTTTAAGGATGTATCTGAGCCCATTATATTTTTGCAGCAGATGCAGGAGTTTAGGGAGAAAATTAAAGTGATTAAAGAAACCCCTCTGCCTTGTTGTAATGTACACATCAGCCATACCATGAAGGCCTTTGATACCAGCCAGTGGAATGGTGTGAAACTAGAAGATGTGGACAAACTTTCTTTGCCTCAGGAAAACAGCATGCTTAATTTCAAGATTCATTCTATGTTTTCACGTAAACTTATAGTATCTTTCCTGATTTTCTTGCTTATCATAGCAGTTATCAGAATGCCCTTTTTGGAGTCTGTTGTTGACAACATCCAGTACTGGAAGACTCGACTCTTTACAATTGGCTCATACTATTTGGCAGATACTGTGGAGATAGCAGACCATGCAGTCTTTTACTGGGAACAAATGACAGATGGAGCTTCACTCCTAAGAGAAAAGTGTAAAAGTTATACACTAGTAGTGCTGGATAATGTTGCACAATTTGTGTGCAAATATAAACTATTATGAAGTCCACTGCCAAAGTCCAACATTCACATTCCCAAGAAGTAACAACTATGGTGCAAAAAAATTAATCATGTATAATTACATTTTTTTTAAGCCCTAACTGCTGATGGAAGTGTTTGAGATTTTGAAATGTGTCTGAAGAGACTAATACTGTTCCTGTGGTTTGAGCACAGATAGGCTGGAAAGGGAACCTGAACTTTGAGGGGAAAAAACACTGGTTCTGAGCACTTATATCAAAGACACTTTTAGAAATAACACACTTCAACACTTAACTAAGACAGTACGTCTTTCTCCTACCGAAACTAGGACCAAACTAACAGCATATATTGTCTAATCTGCTAATAGTTCTGTAGAATGCAAATTAATATGGTTTGTGGTAAAAGATACTCCTCCCTAAAATGAATTTTGAGTGAGGGAAAATTCTTCGAAACTAGGAAAGATGCCTCTGATTTGAAAGAGTAGCAGTCTGTAAATTTTGTGCAAGACTGACTACTTATTGCAAAACACTGAGTTCATTAATGAACACTTTGGACATCTTCAGTTAGAAAGAGGTTAAATGTTGCTGAAGCATAGACTGACTGCTTAGGCAGTCACTGAAATTATCCTGTGTTCTCAAAATATAAAGAGTAATCAAAGTATTGGAAGTTGCTCATAGCGTTTATGTAGAAAATGTTTTCAGATCATGAATCTTGAACAAATTGCAGTAACAAAAAGAAGTTAATAGAGATACGTGGAGGAGAATGAGCTGCGAGCTGGTAATCTCTGCTCTGCAGTGAAACTTACTTTTTCAGTTGCATGGTCCTGTCGAGATACTTGACTTCTCTGACAGGCATAAAGCTGCATTATTTTCTCTTTGTTAGAGCTATTGTTTTAAAATCTTGTATTTTAAAGAGTAGCCCTAATGGAATGCCCTCAGAGGTATGATAGACTGCACCTTGTCCTAGGAGTAGGACTTGAATGTCTACTTGTTAAATACAGTCTAGTGTGACCTCCCTTTCAATTATCTTCACTACCACAGAGAGGAGGAAAGGACAGCTGGAGCTTGTGTTTAAAGATTGGAGCTTCTATTATGATCTCAACCATCAGAAAGTGAGTCTCTCTGAAACACAATCTTCCCAGCAGTGCTAGGATTATGGACAGAGGAGCTACTCTTCCCTGTTTCCCCACATTTGCTTTTCATAACTCCATTAGCTGGAGGGGGGCAGGGGGGGAGGGGAGCTTCCTTGGAACTTGTATGATGACATGAACAATGTTGGTCTTGGTGCTCAGAAACTTCTTACCTTCAGGGTAGATCGTACTCCCCCTTATCGTTTCATTAGCTTTCACGTAGCTTATATCAGGGATGAATGGAGTCCAGTGAGTTTTCATGCCTTAACTCCTAGGATAACTCTATATGTAATTAAATGGTACATTTTACATACAGAGATACAATATATTCCACGCAAAACATTTGTTATAGAAAAATTTGGATTATAAGCATTTATTGAAATACATGATTTTTTATTTATTTTTTTTTTTGGAATGACTCATTTTGGAGAGCATGACCTTGCATTCTTTACGTTTGGAGTACATTTACATTCTCCTTTAGCAGAGGGTCACATGCAGTTGAAATGTGTGAAAATAGAAGAAAGTTCTGTGCTAGCAGTTTACAGATTTATATTGAGTGCCCAAAATTTTGGGTTATTCTTTGGCTTTTATTAAGAATTTTAGGATCTGGGATTATCAGTGAATTGTTTCAGCCTTTGGAAGCTATGTGTGTGTTTGTGTGTTAATTCAGATTCCAGGAGTTAAAGTTGCTAAGCAACCAAGGCCTGCAAACAAGCCATATAGTAGATTGTATTTACAACTCTGTTGTCTGGGAATCCTCTCTCTGCTCCACAATTCGCCTTAAGCAGGCACTGAGATCACTAAACGGTACTAACAGTGGTTTGCAGTTCAAGAATAATCTGATTTGGATGACGTAGGGCAGAGCGTTAAGAACTCTGAGACAAATATGAGCAATCAAGACGTGGTTGTTTTGAATGTGGGAGGCATGACATTTACAACATGGGCTTCTACCCTGCAGCAGTTCCCAGAGTCTAGGTTAGCACGGATGTTGAATGGCAGTGACCATGATTTCAGACTGATGAATGGGCAGTTCTTTGTGGATAGAGATGGAGTTCTGTTTAGTTACATCTTGGACTTCTTGAGGACTCTTCAGCTGTCACTGCCCACTAACTTCTCCGACTATCAGAGGCTACAAAGAGAAGCAGATTTCTATGAACTCAACTCCTTGGCTGAAATCCTGAGCCAGGAAAACTTGCTAAAGCCAAGACTAGAGATGTTGGAAGTTCGCTTCTTGCTCCAGGAAACTCAGGCTTTTATACGGATCTTTGGTTCTTGCAGCAGCACTATTGAAGAACTGGCTGGGCGGATCATTATGTTTACAGAGCAGCAATTGGGACAGGGCTGGCACAATAACTCTTTCCCTCCCCAGAGGTCCCTAAATCCAGTTCCTCTGGAAAGACCTTCTCATCATGACCTGGTTTTTCAGTGTGGCACAGACTACTCTGTTGCTGACCAGCTTGTGACAAGGTATTCTTCTCGGCATGGCTCCTTGGCATGTTCATGAAACACATGCTAGTAAAACTTTAAAAAAAATAGACTATTGGATAAGCACCTGAAAGCTCAGAGATCAGTTTTCTGTCTATCTTCCTGGTTTATGTGAGCTGCTCCCAATACTGACATGTCTTTGATTTGTAACTTCTGATGTACTGATCTGCACTTTTTGGTAATTTTTCTTTTAAAAAAAAACCCCAAAACAACAACTGATATTTTAATTTGTTTCTCTAATTAATTTGATAGTTTACCTCTTATTCCTCATTCTTTCTATATTATCGATGTGACTGATTCAATGAGAGGCTTAAGAGTGCTGGTAATGCCACTAGATTTTAAAGACTGGAAACCATTGAAAAGCATGAAGTTAAAGACAGTATGGGATAGAACTATTTGCCAATTCTCTGGCTAGTTCTCATGTCCTTTAAACAATGTCTTTGGTGTTCTGGTATTCCAAAGATCATCTGTCAGAATGCATTCGCTGTTTGTGTAGTTAGTCATCATAATGTGATTGAAAATTTAAGTTAATCACTGAAGATGTTCCCTGTTGGCCGAAATGATTTAGTGATCATGGGGAGAGAAATACCATGTTTTCTCATAGGAGAGTTTGTTAACTTAGGAGGCAGGTTACACTTTTAATGAGGAAACAATTAAACTGACTTGTCTCCTCAATGTGGTTGCTAAGAGTCTTTTGATGCGGTCTAGTACAAGTTTTGAAAACTACAAAATGAGTTGAAGTTAACACATGGTTCTCAGCACAAGGGGGTAGCATCTTTAGTGCCTGTAACCCACAAGCTTGGAAAATAGAAGTAAATGGAGAATTTGCCCACAAGAAGTTCATCCAAGATAAATATGGAATAAGCTGTTGGGGAAATGGAAGTAAAACGGCTACAAACATGTTAGTCCTCTACACTTACTTGCGGAGAAAGGGAGAACTAAATGAGAAATGGGCATGAAAAACAAAAGTAGAATTGAGATACCAAACTTCTCTATTCCAAAACTGTAGAGTTTATGTTCTTCAACAAAAAACTCTATGAGGCTGATGTTCTTGAAGCTTAGAAGCCTGGTCCTGTTTTTTATTAAAATCAGTGTCAAATCACTGACTTCTGTGCTAGTAGCATCAGGCTCTAATTATTAAATTTTATAATGGCTTTTAGAAACTCTTAATAGACGACTCTGTTATATAACTAGACTGTCTCTGTACAAGAAAATAAGAATCTAGTATGTCTTCTTCCCTGGCCCTGGGAACATCTGAAATTATATAGAAACTTCACTGGAATTACTTCAGTAGGGTTGCTCTCTATGAACTAAACAATCCAAGGAATGCTGGGTTAAACACTTTTTCATTGAGGTTAATTGAGTAAATTCAAGTAGAATTTGGCTTTCTCACATAGCATTTGAGAGATGTCACTTATGCCATGCCTTTATACTTTCTTATCATTTTAAAGGATTTTTTTTTTAAGTTATGGTAACTTTAAAATGAGAAGTGTTCTTTCCTCTAATCTGTTCCCTCTTGACTTTGTAAAACTTGTTTCCTTTGCAATAGAAGAAAAAGTAGATTAATCAAACGAGTCAACTTTTTAACTATTGTCTACTTCATTTCTATTTCATCAAGCTTTTCTTCATGGTGGCATGGATTCTGTTCATCTTTTAACAGTCTTTGTGGACCTTTGTACTTCATGGACTATAGAGCAGTTAGTTCTCTGTCAGTTTATGGTCCTTTTGTAACAATATTTGTACCTGACTTTTCTTTGAAGTGTCTGCATTTTAAAAACTGTACCTTATACTTAATAAAATCACTTGATTTAATGTGACAATCATTTTCATAGTTGTTACCATAAAAGCTGTCATACAAGACAATTTGGCAATAAATGTCACCTTTTGTGAGAGATTGCTGTTATTGGAAAAAAAACCCTGTTTCACAGGCCTTGCCATAGTATGAGGATTCTTATCTGAGTTGTAGCATTATATGAATCATGTATTCAGTTCTCCATTAAATGAAAATTAGAGGGTTTTTTAATTTTGTAAAGTAACTGGACAAACTGAAAAATACTCATGTTCTGAGGGAAGGAATAGTCTTTTCTCAAAACATATTAATGTCAAATATTGTGTAGATGTACAGTGGCTAGCTGTGGTGAATTTCATCATCTGAGAGTTTGGCCTGTTAAACTTTTTTCATTCTGCAAGAAGTCTTTTAACTTACCACAACTACATTTTCTCTCACTTTAGGTATGTTTCCATAAAACCTGATGCTAGGAAGCTGATTAACGGAACTAATGTATTAGGCCTGCTTGTTGACACTTTGCTTAAAGACGGATTTCATCTGGTAAGCACCAGAACTGTCTCCAGCGAAGAAAAAGTTGAATGCTACAGCTTTGACAGGATGAAGAGAGCAGAAGGCCTTGCTATTGCTGTCAGCCAAAACCCAGAAAGTGCTGGTATAGCACAGATAAAGAGAAGCCAAGTGCAGAAACGGAAATAAAATCTCTCCTTTAGCTTTGCTACTACCCTTTTAAAAAGGGGAAGGGGTGTGTGTTTGTGTGTGGGTGTGCGCATTAATAATAATTCTTTTGCTATTCAGGGAGGTAACAAAAATATTTTGGAGGGAGAGGAAGAGTAGTTTTCTTTCTTTTTCCTCTGCTTTTTACTTTTTCAGCAGACTATCAGCTGTAAAGAAACTTTTAAATATGACAATAGCAGGAGAACTAATAATAGACAAATTCAACAGAATCACTCTTTTTCCTTTACAGCATGTTATATAAATGGTTGGAGAAATGTAAATCTAAATGATCTATTCTAAAAAAATTAGATCATCTAATCTGAATATTTCTGCCTGCAAAAAGAACATCCATGTTGCTATGCATTTTTACAAACATTTTTGCAGTTAGTTGAAATCAATATAATTGTGACATTGCAAATGATGCCCTAGTCCCACTTCCTGTATGTGGTGTAGTAAAACCACCACTGACACACTGTATATAACCTATCTTCGCTTTGGATAGTGCCTCAAGAGGAGCTATTAATCTGTCTTCCAGTACCATGAGCTTATTTATTATGGTCATACTGAAAAATGCCTGCCAGGTAATGTATGGGAGGCTCTGATAGAAGATCAATTAATTAGCTTTCCATTTATAGAAGGGAAGAAAGACCACACAGCTGTTCAGAAGGAGGCAAGCTAGAATAATTATACAAGTAAAATAATTCAAAGACCTTTTTGGTACCTACAAAGGGTAAAACATTGTTTTTACCAAGTCACCTTCACTGGTTTTTACTTCTTCACTGTCCAGGGCACCAAGGGATCAGATTATATCAGAATTTAGCCTCTTGTAGCTTTTAATTTATGATGGCATGTGATAGCCCTGGGATTGCAAGACAATGGCAGGTTCTAGGTCCATCTGTTTCTCCCACCTTCATGAAATGGCCATCATGTATAATTAGTGCCACTACCCCTTTAATTCTTCCTCTCTGATGTGTACCTGTGCTGTGGGATGTGTGCGAAGGTGGATGATTTGCTAAGGATTTCATATTTTTATGACAGTGATGCGAAAGAGTTGCATCGTGGAATAGGATCCAGCCCAGTAAGTTGCTACAGCTAAGAGGAGGACATTATCAAGTCTCTAAGAAATCAAAGACTGTTGGATAGTCATGTCTATCTGTTTCCTTCAATATAAGGTTTCCTGAAGACTGCAACCAATACTTTTGAATATTAAATTAACTGTTTCTTATGGACATAATCATGTAAGAGGCCCAGTAACAATATCAAGATATATGTAGAAGGCATACATAGCAATCCCTCATGGGGGAGGAAAAAAAAATATGGATTTAAGATGGTATTTGAGCATTATAATCAAAACAGTACCTTTATAAATGACAACCAAGTGTCAACTGAGATGTCACTTCATAATTTGTGTGATTGGAAAATACGATGCTGATTCATGTACTGCAGAAACCCTGGTAATATTTTTATTATTTTATAAGTCATTTTGAAAAAATAAAGGCAAGCTATGAATCAGTCCTTTTGCCTGCTCCCTTCTGGATTCTTATCCTAGTTCTTGACCCACTTTTCCATGATCCAAAGAGTTCAGTTTAAAGTATGTAGTAGCTATTTTCCTAATGCAGCTTTTTGGCTAGTGATAGTGTTCTGAGTCTTGTGAATATTTCTGTGAACCTCTCATAGCTGTTAGGTTTTATTCAGTACAAACCTAGTATTGTGTACATAGTGGGCATGTCTACACGTGCACTTTAATGTGCAACAGCCTATTTTAATGCACATTAATTAAATAGCAGTTTCATTAAAATAGGGTAATGTGAATTAAATGTCATTTGAAAACTATGCTTTTTAGTTAATGTGCATTTTCCTAGTACCTCACAATGGAGGTACTAAATTTAATGTGCATTAACTAAAGTGTGTTAATGTATGTATAGGTGTGCCCAGTGTCTCTCATACAGGGGAACGTGGTAATGAGGATTGCAAGCTTGCAGATGAGAAATGGGTCTACTTCACAGGGTCAGAATTAAGAACATGTTTAAAGATTTGCAAAATGAAGATCTTTGTATGTTTCAATTATTGCTTACTCTTACTCCTCCAACAGCAATGTGTTTATCAATTTCTTCTGTTGTGTGTGTAACTGCATGAATTATTGACTAATTGTTACACATATTTTGTTATACTATTTGTTTTTTAATTGATAGCTGCTAAAATGTTGTATGTGTGTAAAAAGAAAACATTATTTGAAATTGAGAAATTTTACTTAAAAAGTACCTCACCCATGTATGTTGAAGAATGTAGCCTTAGCTGTTGCATGGAGACATAAGGTTATATTAAGATTTCTTGAAAGATTGCAGCTTTCTAAGCTGTTCTGTGCAGAGAGTGATGGCATAGGCCAGTGAGGGACAACCCTTTTGGCATGTCACAAATTAGCTCCGCTAACCTGAGGACTGTATGTCAGTTGGAAATAAGACTGAGCTGAAATCATGCTGCTCTGCTGACAAGCAGATATAACAATAGCACCACCTTACTAATGGGACCTGCTCCTTCTTGGTCCAGTTCACCTTTATCATGTACCTTGTATAGTCACTTAGAGCAGTATAAAGTGCTATCTGGTTAGAATGCTACTGTTCTACTCCAACTTTACAATGGTCTGAATGATACTGCAAAGTAGAGGGCAATGGTGAATAGTACCCTGCGTATATATTCAGCCTTATTCTTACTGATTTTTTTTCCCCCCTCCATCCCCTTCTAGTCCCAAATAAATGATGATGTTGCACCAGAGAGCCCAGCCCACAGGCCATAGGTTGCTGACCCCTGCCGTAGATAATGCGACTGCACAAATAAAAGTGAGTATGGCCTACAGAACTTTATGTTAAGTGCTGCCGACAGGAAAGGAGAATGGCACCTGATTATGAGGCTAAGGTGACTTTATAAAATCCTACTGGTCAGAAATGTTTACTTGCAAGCTCAGCACTTTCATACATAGATCTTGGAGACAGCAAAAGCATGTCATTACACAGTGCAATTCCTATGGTTGGTTTTTCGGAGTGAAGCTACGTTAAGCGAGCTGGTCATGCTCTTGCATACATCAGCATTAGGAAATTCTACCACTCCGATATTCTGGTCTGGTGTCCCATCTTCTATTTCTAGTTAATGAATTGCATTTAATGTAATTGCATGTGAATAGGACTTTGAGCTTCTCTATTTCGTATTTCTTCTTTGGTCATCTTACCCACTGGTCCTTAAATCCCTTTCCCGTGAGGGTGAGAGATCTGCTGTATAAGCTGCAATGTCCCTAAGGCTTCATGAGACGATCATCATGTGTATAATTAGTGACACTTTCTTCCTTTAATTCTCTCTTGACTAGCAAATGAGTTATTTAAAAGGGCTCTTGAACAAAATGGCAAGTGTAGCTGTGGACCTGGGCTGGCTTCCAGCTGAGTGTTTGAAGCAATTATTTTGCTTCTGCTTCTTAAAAAATCATCAGGACACGAGGCAGTAAAGGAAACTAAAAAGTGAGAGAATGGGAGGCAATCGGCTACTCTTGCAGTAGACAGATTAGAGAAATGGTAATGACTTGCTCCTAGATAGACGATGATGCATTCTTTAACCTTTTTACAGCTCTCACTTCCATCTTGTTCTTTTTGAATTGGAACCTGGCTAGCACATGTTAGGCAAGGTTCTCAAGGGGCTTTACCACCGATTAGTAGGTTATGATGTCTCTGACAAAAGTAGGCCAGCATTATTTCGCCTATAGACAGTTAATTCTTGTTCTACAAATTGTTGCTCTTGGGCTCTTGTATGGAAGAGGCAATCTTCTGAAGTTCTTGTTCTTCCCTTTTGGAGTGGCTTCTCTGCTGCTTTCACAAACAGTAAGCTGCTGATGTCAGGATGGGGAGAATTTGATGCGATACACTCTTAAAATAACTGCATTTCCCATGGGAGCTCTCTAAGTGGTGGTTTCAAGCAAAATTCCTGAAGGGCTTTCATTCTTTAATACACTTTGTGTTTTTATTATTACATTAGAAGCTCTATGGTCTATGTGCATGACATTCTGTAACGGATTTTTTGTAAAATACTTTTGTTTGACTTGGGAAAAGAAATGTCTTTATCTGGGTGTGGTGGCCTTGGTACTGGAAACTTACCTTTCTATATGGTTCTGAAGCATTTTCATTTGCCCGCATAACTGAACCATATAAACATAAGGAACATCAGGCTGTGGTCTGTCTGGTACATGAGTAATTAATAAAAGCTGGGCAAAAGAATGATGCTGTGATAGTTGCCTCCTCGCTCTACTCCTACGCATATGCAAATAGAGGTTGGAACATCTTGCTTCTATAAACTAGATTTTTAAGAACTTTCCTTTTCCTTCTGTCTTTGGTTACTCTCAATTTATGATGCTCAGAAACAGAGCTGAGGGAGCTTGACCTGTGCCTCTCTGTACTTGAAAGGGAAAG